TTTGGGTTCCAAAAGTTAACTTTTGATTTTCTTTTGTAGAATGCCTTCAAAGTAAAATAAATGAAGGCATGTGGTATTTGGACAGTGGATGTTCAAGACATATGACGGGCGATAAAGCAAAATTCTCTACATTAGAATCAAGTGATGGAGGATATGTCACATATGGAGATAATGCAAAGGGAAAGGTTATTGGCATTGGATCCATATGTAAGAATTCTATTACTTTAGAAAAAGTCTTTTTTGTTTCTGGTTTAAAACATAACTTAATATCAATTAGTCAACTATACGATAAAGGTTTAAATGTTTCATTTTATGCTTCACATTGCATTATTATAAGTAATGAAACTATTTTGCTTATAGGAAATAGACATAAAAATCTTTATTTGATTAATTTAGAGAATAGAAATGATGTTAATTTGAATTTACTTTGCATGAAATCTACAAATGATGATGCTTGGTTATGGCATAGAAGGCTATGTCATGCCAATATCCACACTTTAAATAAAATTTCTAAACTTGATTTAGTTGTTGGTTTACCAAAAATTAGTTTTCATTTTGATTCTATATGTGATGCATGCATTCATGGTAAACATATGAAAAGTTCATTCAAGAGTAAAAATATAGTTTCTACAAGTAGACCTTTAGAATTATTACACATGGACTTATTTGAGCAAATTAACACAACTAGTTTAGGTGGAAAAATTATGGATTTGTTATTGTAGATGATTATTCAAGATATTCTTGGGAATTATTCTTAGCTAATAAACATAATGCATTTGATGATTTTAGAAAATTTGCTAATTATATTCAAAGAGAACAAGGTTATTTGATTTATAGAATTCAAACAGACCATGGTGGAGAATTTGAAAATAAATCATTTGAAAATTATTGTGATGAAAATTGAATTAGATATAATTTTTTCGCTCCTAGGACTCCTCAATAAAATGGTGTTGTTGAAAGAAAGAATCTCACTTTAATAGAATTAACATGATCAATGTTAGACGAATATAAACTTCCAAAGTATTTTTGGGCAGAAGCAATAAACACCGCATGTTATGTTACAAATAGAGTTTATTTAAGACCAATTCTTGAAAAGAGCCCTTATGAAATATTTTTTTGGAAAGAAACATAAGATTAGTCATTTCCATGTTTTTGGATGTAAGTGTTTTATTTTAAATAATGATAAGGATCCCTTAGGTAAATTTGATAGTAAGTCTGATGATAGTATATTCTTAGGATATTCAATTTTTGGAAAACCGTTTAGAGTTTTTAATAAGAGAAAATTAATTGTTGAAGAATCTGTTCATGTAATTTTTGATGAAAATCCTATAGATTTATTAAGAAATGATTTGAATGATGATGATATTGAAAATATAAAGAAAATAAATTTGGAAGAAAAAGAGTGTGATTCATTACCTAAAAAATGGAGATATAATAGAAATCATCCAAAAGAGTTAATAATTGGTGATCCTTCCCAAGGTGTTAAGACTAGAAGAAACCATAGGGATGAGGTAGAACATTCTGCATTCTTATCAGAAATTGAACCTAAAAATATAGATAAAGCTTTACAAGATAAATTTTGGATAATCGCTATGGAAGAGGAACTTAACCAATTTATAAGAAATGATGTTTGGGAGTTAGTCATAAGACCTCATGATCAAAATATAATTGGAACTAAATGGGTTTATAAAAATAAGCTAGATGACTCAAAAAGTATTATTAGAAATAAAGCTAGATTAGTTGCACAAGGGTACACACAAATAGATGGAATAGACTTTGAAGAATCTTTTGCACCCATAGCAAGACTAGAAGCCATTAGATTACTCGTTTCCTTTGCTTGTTTTAAAGACTTTAAACTTTTTTAAATGGATGTCAAAAGTGCATTTTTGAATGGATATATTGATCAAGATATTTTTGTAGAACAACCACCAGGTTTTGAAAGCATTAATTTTCCTAATCATGTATATAAATTAAAGAAAGTATTATAAATTAAAGAAATTATATAAAATGACCAAAACTAGTCAATTTGACTCATATTGAACTACCGTTAACGTTCCTACCGTTTACCCGCCTTTACCTACTCTAACTAGTAGTCTACAGTTTTTCTCACTAGACCCTCGCTTTCTTTTGCTAAACTCCATGCACAGTACTCCACTCTACCCTTACTACCCCACACCCACCTTCTCATGGAGGCCCTCCCACTTATTTATATCCACCACATCCACAAGCAGCAGGACCAGCAATGAATTGACAAGCGAGCAAGGAACGTCTATGTGAGTATATAAGTTTAAAATTTTATGTTTCATGTGTAAATTGATTAATCATGTGTTAACTTTTATAGGAAGAGTATATACAACTTCAAGAGAGCCAGGCTGGAGCAGGTGAGAGAACTTCTGGGTAATTAGCAGATTATTATAACTACTGCACTTGGCCGCAAGCAGTATGTGGAATGCAGAAAGGCCAGGTTTATGGTTTAGGCTCGTAAGCCTACGCATACGAGGGGCAGACATCTAGTGGCTCCAGCTTCTCAGAAAGCAAGCAGAAGTCATTGTATAGCCAAAAGGTAGCCGCCCTTAAAGCAGAGCTAGATCAAGTCAAAATATCACAAGCTAACATGCAGATGTAGATGCATATGCAAATGCAATAAAGTCAGTTGTTGGATGAGTTGCAAAAATTAAGGGAACAATTTAATGGAAAGCAGTCAGCATCAGCATAGGAGGAGAATGATGAGACAAATTCTAATTAGAACTTTTTTGTTATTACTAGATATTTTAGTTCTATGTGGGATATTTTATTTCTATGTTTGTATATTTTATAATTCATTTTTATTGTACAGCAAACTTTATGTTTATTTTTAAATTGTTTGGTGATTGTTCAATATCATTTTGTGATCAAATATGTTATTACATGCATGTAGCATTAGTGTTTATGTTCAATGTTTGAATATGAATATGATATGGGTATATAGTTTATGTAGGATTGTTGTGCTGTATAAAACATGAGGAAGGGCTGTTTTTTTATTTCTGGTACAGGTTTCCAATGGAATATCTGCCATAAACAAAGATGAAACGGTATCATGTTTCCGGCGAATACACTGTCGAACATGTCCGTCGGTTGTTCCCGGCAGTACATCGTACAAACCGCCGGGAAGAGCAATTCGCAAACGACGAATTTGGCTGCACAATTCTGCCAAAAATCAATCGAAAGTATCTCCGGTGGAAAACTTCCGCTGAACCAATGTTTATGACGCTCGTTTTACTGTCGCCAATCCATCGAAAATGCAAAATATATGGCGGAATTCCTCTTTTTTGACGAATGTAGGCTGTCGAAAATACGAGTTTTCCTGCAGTGTACCTTATTCTAACTTTGCACATAACAATAGTATTTCTAGAACTCATAAACACCTTTTAAAATTATTTATGATTATAATCCAAAAACACATTGATTTGGAAGATTGTTTTTCCATCATTCCTTCTAAGATGTTGCATCCACTTGCCATATTTGGCGTGGCTTAATTTTGCTATGTTGAAAGCTTAAATTTTAACCACCAACTTAGAACAAGATTATCATAAGGACTTAGGCTATAATTACACAAGCATTCAATAAGAACAATAATATTAAACTATAAAACATGACACAATCACATGCAGACAAAAATTACTCAATAAATAAACAAAAAAATAAGAAACAAAAACATGTATGATTTCATCTAGGTCTAGGCATCAATATCAATAATCCTAAGTCTTGTTCTAAGGGTGTTAAACCTATCATGACCATGTCGTTTCACAAAGATATTTGTCGCATGATTTTTGCTTCGATAAATTGAATGACTACACCATACGACATATGATCTCTAATGAAATGATGGCAAAAGTTAATAAATTTGGTTCTTAAATGCTGAATAGAGTTAGTATTATCATACATAATAGGTATAATATTCACATAAATAACAAAATCTAAAAATTGTTGCTTAAGATATGAGATTTGAGCAACATTACTTCCAATGACTAAATATTCGACTTCAGCTCAAGACTGTGCAACTAAGTTCTGCTCTCTAGCGGCAGACCTTGAGATTAATAATTTTTTTATGAATTGACATGTTATACTCTTCCATTTATAATACATCATAGAAAATCTAAATCAAAGTATCTACCCAAATTAAATGAAGTGTTATTCCTATGATACCAAATCTCTAACATGTCTCCCTATTAAATACCTTAAAATTCTCTTAGCAACAGTGAGATGTAATTCTTTTAAAATAGGTTATAAGAGTGTACAAAGACATACATTTAAACATAATATTAGGATTACTAGCGGCGAGATACAACAATGACTATATTATTCCCCTGTACCTCTTTAGATCTACATAATTTTCATTGAGGTTTGTCCAATTAGTAGTAGGGCTAATGGGGACATTCGAACTTTAACAGTGTTCCAAATTAAATTTTTTAATTAATTCTTTTATTTATTTTGTCTGTGAGAAAAACATTATATTTTGTATTTGTTTGACATTGAAGTCTGACAACTTATCTATCATGCACATTTTAAATTCATGACTCATGATACTTGAAAATTTCTCACATAGCATCTCATTCATAATTCTCAATAGTGTATCATCAACATATATTTACACAATTAGAATATCTGACTTGATTTATTTATAACTAATGTAATGTCAACTGTTCCCTTAACAAACTAGTTTTGTAGTAGAAAAGAGTTAAGCTTTTCATTCTAGGCACTTGCAGCCTGCTTCAGTACATATAATGCCTTTTCCAACTTATGTATATAATTAGAATATATTGAGCTTTCAAATCTAGGTAGTTATTAAACTACAAAATTCACAAAAGCATTCTTAGCATCCATTTAATATAACTTGAAACCTCTAAAACATGTAAATATAACTAGTCTAATAACTTCTGAACAGATATAAGTGCAAAAATTTTCTTAAAGTCGATTACTTCTATCTGATTAAACCCTTTTGTAGCTAGTCTTGCCTTATTTCTAGCTATTAATTCAGAGTCATTTAATTTATTTTTTAATACTCATTCGGTTTCAATTATACTCCAATCAGATGGTCTAAGGACTAATCTTCACACATTATTACGAGCAAATTGATTACATTCTTATACATTGCCAAAACACAAAATTCAACTACCAAAGCATTTTCAACTGTAGTTGGTCTTAAGCGATATAAAGGCAGTCTCGCTAACTTCTTCTCACTAACTTCTTGTTTAAGTGATTTCTAGTACACCAACGATTCTCTTCTCCCAGTATCTGAAAAGTTCTTCGACAACAAGCGAAATGTCTGGCAGAGGAAAAGGAGGCAAGGGTTTTGGAAAGGGCGGTGCTAAGCGCCGCCGCAAAGTTCTCCGAGACAACATCCAGGGAATAACAAAGCCAGCGATCCGGCGGTTGGCAAGGCGTGGCGGCGTGAAGCCGATCAGTGGTTTGATCTATGAGGAGACTTGTGGCATTCTGAAGATCTTTCTTGAGAATGTTATCTGTGATGCTGTCACCTATACGGAGCATGCTCGCCGGAAGACTGTCACAGCCATGGACGTAGTCTACGCACTCAAGCGCCAGGGGGGTTCTCTTTATGGCTTTGGTGGGTAAACAGCTAGGGGTTGTGCTTGGGGTTTGGGTTATTCAGATGTGTAGTTTTCTACTTCTTTAATGTACTAAGATATTTGGGTTTTTATCTCATAATCTGATTTCATCGTTTAATGATAATGTATTATGTTCTATGAATCTGTATTGTGAAGTGCATGATATCCTTTTGAGGATTTCAGATTTTCTATTTTGTTTCCTCAAAAAAAAAAAATGCATTTCTTGTATTGATGTTGATAGAAGAATTTCCAATTTTTTTAATCTTTAGGATAACTAGATATTCATTATCTAGATAGTATTTCTAATTTCTTTTTGAGCATATCTAATTTTTCAAGTTTGGGAAACTCACCATTCTCTAGATTGACTATGGATAACAGATTCATGAAAATTGACATGTAGATTCTTATACTATTAAAATTCTTTTATTAAACACTATATAATTTTCTTACAGATGAATATCCAAAAATATAACCTTATCTGATTTGGCATTGAACTAGACTAAACATTTTTTTATCATTCAACATGAAATACTTACAGCCAAAAATATATAAATATGATAAGTTTGAGGTTCTACCGTTAAGCTATTCACATAGAGTTTATTTAAGACCAATTCTTGAAAAGACCCCTTATGAAATATTTTTTTGGAAAGAAACATAAGATTAGTCATTTTCATGTTTTTGGATGTAAGTGTTTTATTTTAAATAATGATAAGGATCCTTTAGGTAAATTTGATAGTAAGTCTGATGATAGTATATTCTTAGGATATTCAATTTTTGGAAAATCGTTTAGAGTTTTTAATAAGAGAAAATTAATTGTTGAAGAATCTGTTCATGTAATTTTTGATGAAAATCCTATAGATTTAATAAGAAATGATTTGAATGATGATGATATTGAAAATATAAAGAAAATAAATTTGGAAGAAAAAGAGTGTGATTCATTACCTAAAAAATGGAGATATAATAGAAATCATCCAAAAGAGTTAATAATTGGTGATCCTTCCCAAGGTGTTAAGACTAGAAGAAACCATAGGGATGAGGTAGAACATTCTGCATTCCTATCAGAAATTGAACCTAAAAATATAGATAAAGCTTTACAAGATAAATTTTGGATAATCACTATGGAAGAGGAACTTAACCAATTTATAAGAAATGATGTTTGGGAGTTATTCATAAGACCTCATGATCAAAATATAATTGGAACTAAATGGGTTTATAAAAATAAGCTAGATGACTCAAAAAGTATTATTAGAAATAAAGCTAGATTAGTTGCACAAGGGTACACACAAATAGATGGAATAGACTTTGAAGAATCTTTTGCACCCATAGCAAGACTAGAAGCCATTAGATTACTCGTTTCCTTTGCTTGTTTTAAAGACTTTAAACTTTTTTAAATGGATGTCAAAAGTGCATTTTTGAATGGATATATTGATCAAGATATTTTTGTAGAACAACCACTAGGTTTTGAAAGCATTAATTTTCCTAATCATGTATATAAATTAAAGAAAGTATTATATGGTTTAAAGCAGGCTCCATGTGCATGGTATGATAGGTTAAGTAACTTTTTAATTGAACATAGTTTTATAAAAGGTAAGGTAGATACAACTCTTTTTATTAAAAATATTAGAGATGATTTGATTATTATACAAATTTATGTTGATGATATATTATTTGGAAGTATAAATGAAAGTTTATGTCATGAGCTTTCCTCATTAATGTCAAAAGAATTTGAAATGAGTATGATGGGAGAACTCACCTTTTTCTTGGGGCTTCAAGTAAAACAATTAGAGTCTGGCACATTCATATGTCAAACCAAATACATAAATGAATTATTAGAAAAGTTTGATATGAAGAGATTCAAATTGAGCAAAACTCCTATAAGCCCATCAACTAAACTTGATTTAGATGAATCATGAAAATTAATAGATCATTAACTTTATAGGAGTATGATAGGTTCACTTTTGTATCTTACTACTAGTCGGCCTGATATTATGTTTGTTGTATGTTTATGTGCAAGATTTCGAGCTAATCCTAAGGAATCACACTTAATAGCAGTTAACAGAATATTTTGCTATTTGATTGGAACTCATAAGTTAGGCTTATGGTATCCTAAAAATTTCTTATCATGTAGTTTAGTTTCATATTCTAATGCAGATTATGCTAGTTGTAAGGTTGATAGAAAAAGTACATCTAGAACCTGTAAATTTTTAGGATCATCGCTTATTTCTTGGTCTTCTAGAAAACAAAATTCAGTCGCTTTATCCACTGCTGAAGCATAGTACATAGCCGCAGGTAGTTATGCTGCTCAAGTTTTATGGCTAAAGTAACAAATAGAAGATTTTGGAATTAAGCTTAAAAATATTCTCGTTAAATGTGATAATACATGTTCTATAAGTTTGACAAAAAATCCTATACAACATTCACGAACTAAACACATAGAGATTAGACATCATTTTATTAGAGATCATGTTAATAAAGGCGAGGTGAAAATAGATTTTGTAAACACATATTCTCAAATAGCTGATATCTTTATAAAACCTTTGGCTGAAGAGCGATTTTACATGTTAAGACGTATGCTTGGGATGTTAGATCCTAACACTTAAATCTCTTTTATATATTTAATTATTCTTTTTGATGTTGTCAAAGGGGGAGAATAATAATATATGTTGGTCATAATTCTTTTTACATGCATATATTTGGGGGGAGAATTATTCGCATATTTCTCAATTCTTATATATATTTTTCTAATGTTTAGAAGTTATGATAAAAGGTCAATTTTCACCTTTGTTATAACTATACCCAATATAAGTTTGTCATCATCAGAAAGGGGGAGATTGTAGATATTATCTACCTCATGATTTATTTTAGGGATTTTGATAATAACAAAAATATGCTTGGATGCTCTATTTTGTTTGCTAAGTATTTCAAGTGTAATGATGTGCATAGTAATCACTTATGGGGTTTACATTACACAACACAAGTTCAATCAAATGTTGAAATAAAGATGGACCAAGACGGACAACTTGAAGGATTTTACATTATCATAGGAGTATGTTAGTGGTCCACTAATATTACTTGCACGATTTAAATTGCTCACAATCTAAATATCTATTAATTATATATTAATCTTGATATATAAATCTATAAGATTTCTTTAATAAATAAATTTTATATCCATCATAGATTGATTAATTATTATCAAATATGGAGAGTTATCTAATTAGAGAAATTAAAGGTAATAAGCTTAATTGGTAATACTTTTATTTTGTATTTATTTTAAACTGACTTATTTCATATTTATTTATTAATGAATGATTACTTTTATATAAATTTAATAATATTATTATATTAAAATTCAATATATCCTTAAAAATTTAAAATTGTGCATGAGTGTTTATTTTACTAAATATAATATTATGCTCTCAGAAACGTGGTCTAATTTTTATTGCATTGGATTGCTTGGATTCTGTATATGTAAATTGATATATTATAGGGCTCATTTGGATTTTATTTGAATGGAATATAATATGGAAATCATTGTTGGAAAGCATCAACACACAAAACCGAGTAATCTCTCTTGAGTTCTTGAGTTTGCTTTCCATCTCTAAATCTTCACTTGCTATTCTTTTTAGCTTTCACCATATATTTCTTTCTTGAAAATATTTATTTTATGGTGAAATACTTATTGGAAATTTTATATTAAACTTTTATGTATCATATCTTTTAAATCTATAAAGTTTAATAGAGCAAGTATTTTACTTCTTTAAGGTTGCAAAGATTTACATCTATAATCTAATTTATTTTATTTTATTTGAAGAGTTAAAGTTTAAATCAGCGAGAATATATTTTTATTTCATATATTATTCTTATTTTAAATAAAATATAAATCTATCTTAAAATGAGCAAACAATATTTCATTTACAAGTAGAGAGGTAATTAAAATTAGTTTGTAAGATCACCTCAAATATTGTGGATATTTTATTGCAAGATTATTTGAGCTTGTCTAATTTATATCAAATTATATTTTTCATTTTATTTATCTAATCCATTTGGCTTAGTGAAGTTTTAATTGTAATTTGATTGGGTTGTACTCGCCCGTGTAGGAGAGTACTTAGGTTGTAAAGAACTTCTTTGGTTTAAAGAAGTGAGGTTTGCAAAGAAAACCTGGGATTAGTGAATTCTAGCCTGAGAGTTGGCTTGCGTGGACGTAGGTTAGGTTGGAATCTGGGCCGAACCACATAAAAATATTGTGCCTCTTTTTTTCATTCTTTTCATTTATTTTTCTATTTTTTTATAAGAATGATTGTGCGATTACTTACTCTTTTCAAAATTGCTTTAAAATCATTTTAATTTTCTTCTTTTAATAAAAATTTTTAAAAACCCCAATTCCCCCCCCCCCCCTCTCTTGGGTTGCCATTGTCATCCAACAGTTTTCATCAATTAAAGCATGATCTTTCCTAAGGATTTCATGATTCTTTTGTAGTTCTTCAAATTCTAAACTTTGACTAGCATGCATTTTCTTTATTTCCCTATATGCATCATGCATGTGTTTAGAAACTTCAAAAAGATCATCATAACTTAAGTCACATACCTCTTGTTGATCTGACTAATCAATACTATCAGCCATTAAGCACAGATTAGTGACTTCTTCTTCCTTTTCTGTCTCTGACGAGTCCGAAGATGAGTCCGCCCAAAAAGCTCTTTGGAATTTCTTCTTACCCTTCTTCACAAAAGGTTTCTCCTCTACCTTCTCCTTGCTAGGAGTGGCTTTGAGTTTTGGGCAATCTATCTTTATATGTCTAGGTTTCCTACATTAATAGAAAATAACATCATTCAAAACATTTGTATTTCTAATAAATTTACCTCTATTCCATTGTTGGCGTCTCTTCTGCTTCCTCTTCATAAAGCTTTTGAATTGTTTAGTCATTAATGCGATGTCATCTTCATCCTCAAGTTGTGAGTGTTCACTCTCAAACACCTCCACTTTCAGTGCTATGTTCTTCTCCCTTCGTGGTTCACCTGCATCAATCATTCTTTGGCTAACTATTTACTTGTAAGCAATTAGCGAACCAAGAAGATTGTCAATAGAGTAAATGTTTAGATCTTTAGACTCTGTAATTGCAGTAATTTTAGCATCATAAGTAGTAGGCAAACCACGAAGAATCTTATTAACCATTTTAGCATTCGTTAGTTCCTTACCTAATGCATGTAAAGCAGTGACTATTTGTGTGAATCTTGTGTACATATCAGAAATGGATTCATTAGATTTCATGCGAAATAGTTCATAATCATGCAACAAGATATTAAGTCTAGATTGCTTAACCTCAGTAGTCCCCTCATATGTTATA